GGGGTTCCTGGGGGGCGATCCCGCAAGCGAGGCGGGGAGCCGGCTAGGTGCGGATGCTTCGTTGGGTTTCGCCAGGCAGGGATCGAGTTCCTGTCAGATAGAGGGGCGGGGAGGGGAGCCCTAGGGTCCAGGGGACCGAGGGTCGTCCAGGGTCGCTCAATGGGTGGGGAAGGGGGTGCACAAGAACGGGGAGCAGAGAATCAACGTTCCGAGGGTGAGGTTTTGGACGTGCGTCGAGGTGAGGCTTCGTAGGGGCCAGTACAGGCCTTGATTTTAAGAAATAGACACCTAGCGGTGAGGGACTTCACCCAGGAACTTTGTGAGGCGGGGATGCCACAGGGCGTTTTTCATGTGGCTTTTTTTCACGTGGCTTTTTTCCCCGTGGCTTAGTGTGCCTCCTGAAACTCCGCCTGCTGGGAGCTGAGGCCTTCTGAGGCCGCTCAGGGTTTGGGAAAGGCCCTGTCCCCGACTTGGAAACCAGAGGGGAGTTTCAGGGATTAACGCCCACCATCCAGTACAGCTATACCCAGTGAAGCCTGAAGGTTCACACTGTGAGGCCTGGTGGGACTCTGGGTCACTGTCAGCTACCGGTCACCCTTGATCCAGCATTTCCCTTCTCCCACAGAGTGAGTGCCTCTGGCCTCCAGTGGGCTATTTATCTCCCTTGCGCCTCCAAATGAGGTCATCAAGCTGCGACCGACTGACAGGCTAGGCTCCACCCCTTCACAAGTTGGCATGATTATGTAACGGCCACAAATATCAAGAAAGCAGCCCAGCCCAGTCCAACTCACGTCCCTAAGTCCCTCTTCAGACTCAAGCAGCCACATGTAGTGATGCAGAATGCGGGAAGATCACAGCCCTGTGTCAAAGTCGTGTGGATCCCAGGTCAGTGAGCACTGTTTGTGAAAACAGACCTCTATTGTAAATTAAATCCGGCTTCCAAGCCTGTATCCATTCTAGTCCTCCTTTCTGCATCCCACATAGCAGCAAGGAAGGAGTTGAACGTTCATTCATTCGACAAATAGTTATTGGACATTGTATTAGTCTGGGTACTTTGGAGAAACAAATCCACAGCAACTCACGTATAAGAGAGAGTTTTATGCAAAGAAAATGTGCATCAC